CGTTTATTTAAATTTTTGAAATTTCAATATTTTTCTGTAAAGTTCAAGGAAACGATCCATGAACAATACAAAATGGAAACAGATTTATTCTCCAACGATACCATCAAACTTAACATGTAGTAAATAACTGAATGTTTGCGCCGTGTGAACTCTTTCTTGGTATGTCTGAATTTAATGTATTAAGTATTCTGAGTGTTTTCTTCGTCGTGTCGTCTTTACTACTCGAACAACTTTTGTATCAATTTAATTACTTCTAGAAAAATATGATAACATCAATCAAAATCATAGAAAACAATCGTTATTTTAAAATACAACGTTGGTCTAGTCTTAAGACTTGGGCAACTCAAAATGTTAACATTTCTATAAAAGATCTTGCCGATTTTTCGAGCCAAACTTATACCCATCTAAGATATACAAATTATTATTGAAAAAAAAAGAAATTTATCATTGTCACATTTAAATGCATCGATTTTATTCTCTTCAACGGTGTTCACTATGCTAGCATTGATTATTATCGCTAGAGTTATTATTACAAATACTATTTCTATTTGACTTATTCAAGCGACAAAAATGATTTCAACTAGCAGTATGTAAACAGGTTTTGGTTATGTTTCAATTTTTTTATTCATGTAGTCTTCCTCTCAATTTATGAAGTTCAATGAAATCTCAATTCTTCCTGATATCTAAATGGATGATCTCTTTGTTATAAAGCAATTTATGTGATGGACATGATTTGATCTTCTCTTACAATGATCTCAAGTGTTTTTAACCAAAGCAAATTATTACTGTGCTGTCTTCCGGTGGGTCATATAATCTTAACTATAACACTAATAAGCAATCAGACTAATGTTTTTTTTTAGGACTGTAGTACAGAATCCTTCTGTGCACAAGTAGCGAATGCAGTTGGATAGTACTTTTCAAATTCATGACCGTGGGTTTTTGTGGAAGTGAAGCTGATTTAGTCTTATCAAGATCTTAATGATATTCACTTAACAAATGCTGCCTATCATTAATGCTTATAGATAGATTATATGACTGGATATAGATTCAGAATTACAACAAGTCTCAATTCAAATACGACATGAGGAAAAGTTATTTATCAAGCAAACTGATTGATATAGAGACACCTTTATTATGACATACTAATAAACCCTTCCATTAATCTTTTTCTTTTATAAAATTCGATCGTGTTATTGATTAATCAATACAACAACTCACAAAACATACAAGGTAACTGTACATAAATGTCCAAAGACGAATGGTTTTAAACAAGTAAAGAAAAATAAACTTATAGGATTCTTCAAATTGTTTTGAGTTATTCTTATCATATCCACAGTGATTGTAATTTTTGATACTACTATTATTCATTGATCTTGATAATAAAGCAATTGGCTTTGGAAGTGAATGTTTTGAGAATATTTGAAGCATATATGTTAATACGTCAAAATTGACAATTCACTTATGCATTTTTTTTGTAGAAAAAAGAAACATTTGCATATTCAATTGTCATAACAACAGAAAGATATTATATTCCAAGTTGATTTCATGTTTATTTAAAATGATAGTTTTTCTTTTAAAATTTAATAAAAATGAGAGACATAATTTATAGTCATATTTCTGCATTTCATCATTGAAGTAGCATAAGTAAATATTATATGCAAATGAAAAGAAAAAAACAAGAAACGTCAATACATCAATATAGCTGCTATTTTGACAGAAGTTATTGAAATAAAAAACAGAGAAATTTTATTATTTATTTAATATTTATGCATTGTTAAATAGACTTGTTAGTGTACAGAAGAATTACTATCATAAAATGCCAACGAGTAGTCAACGTTCTATTGCGGTACATCCGCAATCAATACTTTTTACAGCACCGGTAAGTAGATAATTACAGTTTGAAATCAACAAAAAATTTCAAAGATTCATTTATCAATAGCGAATGTTTGTTTTTTTTTTCAACAGTTGATAATCTTTATTCATGCAATGTATTCTCGTTTTGATACACATATGTCTTTGAATTTTTTCTCAATTGTTTTCTTTTTCTTTATGAGTACTGGATCAAGATTAATATGAAACTGTTTATGAACAAACGATAAATTGTTTCGTTATAATTGAATTATAATATATTTATAGGAGGATACAATCACAATGAACAAATCTACTGAACAGATCGAAACCATTCTTACTGTTCCAGATAAAATACAGTCATCACGAAGTATAAAATCAACGAAACATCAATCAAACAATGGTTGTATTGATAAACTACGAACATTTCTGAAAAAAAAGAAGTATGCATATCTATCTTTTATTTATTAGTTACTATCAGAGATGTCCATCGCGGCTGAAAATCTCCCATTGCCATGTTATGATCTTAGAAGAGATGAAGCTACCGCGATAGTATTTCTGAAACATTTCCAGCGTCGCTGTGGTTTAAATAAAGTGCCGCTGACGTCGTCGCAGTTGTAGCGCTGCCATGGACATCTCTAGTTACTATTCAAGAAAGAACAAAAAACATCTTTTTTTCCTAATTATTAGATATACTAAATTCTTGCTAACAATAGTACTTGTTCAATTGACATTATTAATTATGTCATTGGTTGGAATAGCAATTGTTCTTCCTCTTGTGTTGAAACAGCAAAGTTTAACAAGTAAATAAAAAATAAGTATCCTTACAAAAAATAATTGATTTCGAAAATTTTATTTTTCTTTCTTCGTCACTTTTGTTTTTTATTGACAAATGAATTTTCAATTGAATCCTTTAGAAACATCAACGACTGTCACGACAACAACTAGCACGCGTAAGATGTAATAAAGATCAATTTTAATTAATAAGTTATGTAACGTAAACGTTACTAAGCTCTATACTGGAAGGAGAATAATACAATATATAATAAAATAAAATAATCAGTCACAAAGCTTTGAATTCTATTGAACTATCTTTATTTAATATTTATACATATTTTCTTAATGCTAATATCTTTAGATATAATTAATTCTAATATATTAATAGTAGTAGAAACAATATCCTATTGTGTTGTAAACCTTTCAATGGCTATCAACATCATAAAGTCAGACATGAACATTTTAAAATGATGTTTGGTATGATTTGGGGTTATTAATCTCATCGTTCTGAATAAGTTTGCTATAAGGAGCACCTCAAAATTCTTTCTGAATCTACTAAAATTTGAGTTTAAGTGTGTTCATCAAAATTTGTTGCGATTATTTCTCTAAACATTCATCTTCATTTACTCTATACATATACTTTCTTTCGTTGTATAACAAACACTAACGAACGAATATTCATGTTCTATAAAAAAGAATCATAGAAAAATACTTTATAAGTAAATAATGAGAGTGAATGACTGACAATATTGCTTTTAATATTAATTATATGATACTCAATTAAAATATATTAATAAACGATACTTTTCATTGAAACTTATTATAGCTAGTTGTGTTACGCCATATGTTCAAGCACCATCTGGAAATTGTGTAAACACATTACTCGATTTTAATAATTGTGGTACAGTTGGAAAAATATGTTCAAGTGGTGATACAAGTTGTTCAGCTGCTGCTTGTAGCAATACTATACCAATTGTTCAATTGGTCAATTACACTTCAATTTGGATAGGTGGTAATGATGGATCAGCTGATGATGAAATCTTTAATGTAACACTTCCATTCACTATTACACTTTATAATACGACAACTAATTATATTCAAGTAACAACTAATGGTGTAAGTATAAATTATTGTTTCATTTTTTAAATTAAAAAAGAGCTTTGGTTAAATGCATATTTTTTGTGTTACATGAGTTTTTACTACAAAAATTAATCTAGGAGATTGATATGATTCATATTTATTTTTAATAGGTCCTTTGTCTAAGTTATTGTTCGAATGCTTGGGTGGAAAGTCCTTTGCCTACTACTTCTTTTGGTGCTGCAGTTCTACCATATTGGGATGATCTTTATATTTATGCTAAAACTTGGCAAGGTATATATTTTGCATCTCAAGGTACTGCTCCAAGTCGTACTCTTGTATTCGAATATTATATGAGCCATTATGGATCACCAAATCAGTATTATCATTTTCAAGTTGCATTTTTTGAAGCTACACCTGGTATTACTAAATTCACCTATTTCGATGCATACGACACAGGTGCTAGTTGCACTATTGGTGTTCAGGGTAAAAGTGAAACAACATTTTTATTTTAATTGATAATGTATTTTTATTTTTCTAGGTTCTTACAATGGCCAATTCATCTCATATTCTTTTGACGTAGCTAATTCTGTAATACCAAGTATGACTCTTACTTTTGATACTAATGTTGGTACTTATACTAATGGTTCAACTATTGGATAGAAAATAATTATAGACATTAATATAAATATTAATGGTTAAAACAGACTTGAATAATTTAAAACAATTATCCATCGAATACTTCAAAATAAATAATAGCTGTTTGACTTATTATAATTTCTACTGCATAAATATAAATCATTTATTTAAAAAAATATTTGTATACTATCTTCATTTTCTATACGAAAATTTTGCCTAGATTTTTATTTTTCATTTAAAAAAAAATCCCTCAGTAATGTAATTAGTAATAATAATAGTTTTTTCCAAAAATACGAAACAAATCAACAACTTAAAGAAAAATTCATTCAACGTACATGTTGACTTGTAATAATGATCACAAACAACAATCTAAGTCATTTTTCATTATAATATTTACAAATAGATTAACTATTGATCATACATAAAACATACTTTTGTATTATTATATCAAATATAAGATATTGAACGATTGATGGAGAATTAATGTGAAATTCGAAGGTTTACTGCTAATGTTTTTGTTATATCAGGAAATCAGTAAAAATTTTCAATTCTGTAAAAGTTTTTAATAGCACAAGCAAAATAAAATTTGAATATCACATATTTAAAAAAAATTTGCATCTCTTCTTTTTTTCTTTTAATTAGAATAAATTTTAAAAAAAGCTTGAGAGCATTACGCTAATGAAAATGAAACCTTTAAATAATATATATGTCCACACTCGCAGAATATTTCAGAGACATACAATGACCTGTCTATTTTTTTTCTTTCTACCTTTCACAATAAATACTACCTATCAAAGAAACCTATTATCAACGTTCATTTCATTTCGATAAAAACAATAGACATTTACATCATATATTCACCAAAATGAATACCAAGCTACAACAGCCAATCAAAAAGAAAACTGGTCAGGTAGTACCATTATTAAATTCATTGACAGGAAAACTTAATGTTCCACATCGATTTTTATCATCTGTACCACGCGTTAAGGTGGTGTCACGACGAAAACTTCCTAAAACATTAGAAATTCCAGTATGTTGATTAATCCAAAAAAATATTTACTTTGAAGTCAATAAATATCTTGTTGTTCGATATTAGATATCAAATATTCCAACTATTCGTCAATATTCAAATAAATTAAGAGAAACGCGTTATGACAACTCATTTGAATCATCAAAAACTAAAACGAGTCGTGACAGTTCACTCAAATCGTCAAGAATTAAAACGAATCATGACAGCTCATTCGAACCGTCAAAAATTGGAACGAGTCATGTTATTACGACAAAAAATAATGAGCGATATCAAACATCATTCAAGGTAAAATATACAAATACAGAAGATATTTTATCATTCATAACTAATCATCAGTAGAGAATGTAGTAAAATTTGACTACAATTAGACAAAATGCATGAGTTTATCAATTTATCAAACTCGTTGTTTCTTTTCAAAATGTTATAATTCGTGTATAAATTTTCTCAGCTGAAACAATCAGCTATTGATGTTTTAAAACACAGAAAATATTTCTAAGTTCTATAATCAATTTCAATTTTTGTAAAATACGATCTAAAGGACTGCTGAAATATATAATATAGAAATTTAAATCCATTGTCCCTCTGCCCATAGACGATGACAAACGCCATTGAAACCCATTACAGACTGTGACAAACATTCAGGCAATTCATTACAGATCGTGACGGTCATCTTCAGTGCGAATAACAGCTATATCATGTTGAATGTGAATGTGAGTATGTGCAGATCTGGATATTGATGAAGAGAAGAACCACAACCATACATACTCACACCTACGATTATCTATTTTTTAAACGATGATTTTATTTAGAAGCTATATTCAATGATTAGGCATCGATTATCATACCTTTTCACCATATATTTATAAACATTAGATAAAGAATTTTCTTCCAGAACAAAAATCTTTGTCATTCAATCATATTAATCTTTTTGTTTTGATTCTTTATTCACGGAGATAAGATGATTTTGTAAACATGTATATATGTATTTATTTAAATAAAAATTAGTTCAGAAAAGTTTTGAATATGCTATTTAAGGTTGAGTGCTTACTGAAATGGTGAATAACATTACAGTACCTTTTTGACTGAAATCGACAAGTACTGACATTTTATATACTTGCCAAGTATTTGTACATATCTTTCATACTTCTTAGGGAGATAATTTTGATGGAAATGGTGAAAGTTTCATTCCCAAGTTTTAGTTTCCAGTTCGAGTTAAGGATGATCATTTCTTGTGAATTTATTTTAAATTTAAATTGAATTTACATAAATTTTAAATTCATTTAATTAGATTTAAATCCCATATGAATTAATATGAGTGGACTGAAATCCAATTAAATGAATTTAAATAGAATTCTATTTGGTTTAAATTGAATTTATATTGATTTAAATTCGATTTAAATAAATTTAAAAAGTTTAAAAAAACTTAAATCATTTAAACAAATTTGAATTTATAAAATTGATTTTTGGATTTATCAAACTTTTGTAAATATAACGTGATCACTTCTGGTTCGAATTTCTACACGTAAATATTCAATTTCTTTTCACCACCATTTTATGTGAACAGATACTTTCCCGGTCGGCGATTTTCGCCCGATTTTTGCCAGTTTGGCTGTAAAATTCATCTGGCCAATTGCTGACCGAACCGGATCGGATTGGACAGAAAAAAAAACTGTTTGGTTCCAACTCTGATTCAAGAATATGTAATTTTCAGTTGCTTGCTATCTAGTTGAATATCTTCATAACAATGTAGCTCATAACCAAAAAAAAAAATTACCATTTGAAACTACGTAGTGGACGTGCTTCTATTACAAAATATATATATATATAAGTAGGGCTTCTTTTCAATTTTCAAATGAAATTGATTATATTATCAAATATATTCTTCGCTCTTTGTTACGAATAATACTTAATGAATTTCTCTCGTTCAAACTCATATGTTTATACACAACTCGTGTGTTTTTATTGGAGAAAACGTGGTGTATAATAAAATAGACTAGTATAGAAAATAAATGTAGAACTAAAGTTTTAATGAACGACCAAAATGAAATGAAACCAAAAAACCAAAGAATGTATTCCAAAATGGATAGAATAAAGCTATCTTCAATGATTAGTAAGCAATAGCTATATCGTGTTTCACATTGTAATCCTACAGAGATTTCGCTAACAATTTTCTTTTTTAGAATTTGGCTTCACAGAATCCCTCGAAAAAAACTAGGAGTTCAGTCGATGGATTATCAAGTCGAAGGCATTCGACGAATACACATAACAAGAAAAGAAATAAAAATCTAAAGGCTTCGTATGTACTGTTTACGAATTTTTTCTTCATTCATCATACATTGAGAATTTTCCACTTAACTATAGAAGACGAACTTGTTGTCGATGTCCATTAACTCATTTATTTTGGCTTCCAGTTATTTGTATTCTTCTTGGTATCATACGAGTACTCAAAAAGTACTCATGCTAAATTTATAAACCTATATTCTATTCGGTATCATCATATTACATCGATTTTATTTAGATATAAAATTAAATAACAAGCAATACAGACTTACAATATGAATATGAGAACTACAGCTATTACTTTATCTTTAGATTCTTTTTTTAAATAAATAATAGAGCTAGAGAGATCTTCATTGTTAGAGATAAAAGTTGAATATTTCTTTATTCTTATAAAATGAAAAATAAGATTTTATTTAAAAAATAAAAGAAAAAAAAACAGAATTTTAAGAATAAGTAAATTTATTTTTAAGAAAATATTTAATGGATAAGAAATCGTACAGCTGTATGATCAACTAATTCCTTATTATGAGCAATCATTTTTGTCCTACAATTTCATATTCGTTATGAATTTTTTTAATAATAAATTTTCATATATTTCAAAGCTTAAGTCTTTTCTTTCTTCTTTTAAAAATAAATAAAATTTTATTATTATGATACCAAAATAAAGCAATATGTAACTTTCTCCATTAACGATGATTTCTACGTCATTATCTCATAAAGTAAAAATACAATAAAATATAAGAAAAGAAAAATGAAAAATAAATTATTCTGTGCAAGAGTGAAATCTATTTACAAATAAACATGCAAGGTTGATTATTACACAAAAAAGTCAAATAAACATTTTCAAATTCACAATTAATTATCTATAGTCTCTTTTATTTCATTGCATTTTACAATTAATCTGAAAATTTGTATTTTAAAACAGAATTTTTATCTAAATTTATAAAATTAAATTTCAACGAATCTTTATTAATGCAGTTAAACAAATATTCGATCTCACCTGACAAGTTAATAGTTTAAAATGAAAATTCATATATCATCTTTCCTTTTTCTTTAAATAATCATTCAACAAAATCATCTTATAAATGACTCATTAGAAAAGAAATATCCCACCGAATCTTAGCTATCGTACATACTGGACGTCTGAAAGTTTGTGCAAGCATACTCCATCATGAATGTAGATCAACGGCAAAATCGCACTACAATTGCTTTAGTACAATGGAAATTATGATGAATAGTATCTATTTTTGCTTCTAAGTTTTTAATCTGAAAAAAGATGTCTATTGAAGTCCTGTCTATAGTCATTCTTTATTCAAAAGATGAGCTCATTGGCTGAAAGATTGGAATCTTTGGATGTCTCTGAGCCCTTTAAACAAATACGATAATCATCGACATGCTATTTCCTTTTAATACAGGATTCTTTTCTGAGACTTGTAGGCGATAATGCTTAACTTTTGAAGAAGCTTCTCTAGAAGTTGGAGTTCACTTCATTGAACTATTACTGGGTTATAGTTTCCAAAGGACAGCAGATAATTTTCTTCAGAGCAACAACCATAGTAAATTGACAACAATTCAGTAACATCTATCATAATTCTCTTTGTTACGTAAGTAATCGAGATGTGACTGTATCTCTAATCTATATTCATGGTGTAGTATGTGCACACAAACTTTTCAATCTCCAACACGTATGTCAGTTGAAATACGGTGAAGTGAAGATTTTTATCTACTACCATATAGAATTGCTCGAATACTCGAACGAGTAATTTGAGTATTCATGCTGACAAGTCATACTCGATTGATGAATTTTTTCACTAGGGACGTTAGATAGTAATTATTTATTAGCATTTGAAATTAAAACGAATTTGAGTTCACAGAAATGATAACTCGTGACACACACATATTTTGCTAATCATTTAGATACAAGAAGTGAGATTTAGATTACGATTTATATACTTGAAAAGGAATATCAGATTCCCATGTTGATGATCAATGTCAAAAAAAAACTTTCTCTAAGCACTAGTTACTCTTAATAACACACAGTAGTTTTCATTATTATTATTTTAGAGAATGAGTAAAGATTTGGTGATGAAATGTTTTATTTGATATTCAAAGTCTATTAAAATTGTTGTTAGAGTATGAAAGAATTGCTAAAACATTTAATCTATTTTACATACTTGACAAATATCAAAGACTTTAATCCTGTTTCAAGATATTGTGAAAATGACATAGATCAATTCTTATTATGAAGAATTTATTTTCTTTCATAGGTTTTGTGTTTTGGAACTTGTGACGACGCTTTTAGAGAAAGTTCTTTACCCACTAACGATTTTTCCGGTGTAACAGTTTTCCCATTCTGGGATGATCTTTATATTTATTCGAGCACATCACAAGGAATCTATTATGGAACTGAAGGCAATGCTCCGAATCGTACATTGATATTTGAATATTATATGAGTCATTACCAACAGCCTTCTCAATATTATCAGTTTCAACTCAAGTTCTTTGAGGCTACATCTGGCATTGTTCAATTCAAATATTTCTATGCAAGTGATGGAGGCGTTACTGCTACTGTTGGTGTACAAAGTAAAGAGTGAAAAATTATTTTTTTTTATATTTGTGATCAAATTATGTTCATGTTTTTTTTAGAATCCAGTAGTGGTCCATATATTCAACATTCCTATCATGAAACTAATGCCGTACAATCGAATATGATTCTGACATTTAATACAAATCTTGGAACATATACTAATTCAGCTATTGGCTAGAATATTATTAAAATAACAAAATCAATTAATCTTCTAGTTTTCTTTTTTTTTTTATTGGAATTGCATTTTTATCTGCGATTGTTTTTTAATAAAAAAAAGAGTGTATTACTTTAACTAATACATAAATTTTGTTTTTTTTTTCTTAAATTGAGCAATTGAATATTGGATTAATCCATTCTAGTCTATTTCTTATAATTTCATAAGAATTCTGAAAACTCAATTATTATTATAAAAGGATTTCACAAGCATGTTCACTCAGATTCTCAACAATGCCAAAAGTTCATAAACAATGAATAAAAACTGATGAATTTTGATTAAAATTAACTTTATACAGTTCAAAAAATATTTAGTCTTGAACCGAGTAGAAAAATTTATAAGTTTGAATATCATTATTTAGATAAAGAACTTCTAAGAATAAGTAGATTTTAGATTGTTCGATGCCCCTTTTATTTCCGATAATAAATGGATCAGCAAACATGATTTTAGGCAAAGTGTCAAATAACTAAAAATTTTCGTAGATAAGTAATATGAAATCTTTTACGATTAAAACTTTAATATTTAGTGTAATCAAGTTTCACCTCATTCTGGTTCTCATCTTATGTCTGGATTTTTCAACTCAAGCGTATTGATATACTCAATAATAATATTTTCATTTTTCTAGCGTTTAATAACAGTCCATTCATTGAGTATTCTAGTCGTTAAGAGGGTGTGGGTATCCAACTGCCGCTTACCCACACCCATACCCTATGTGTCAAAATTTACCAACATTAAATTAAGAGAATCATTTTCTTCATCAATTGAACGTTTGAAAAGAGAAAAAAGACGGGAACATCAACAATACAGATGGAAAAACGAAAATATTCAAGAGAAAAAAGTAATAGCAATGCTATATTGCGAGATAATTTGAAAAAAAACTCCTTTCGAAGGTGATAATCACAAAGAAAATAATAGTTGTCATAATTGAATTATATTGTAATGAATAATGAGTGAACTTGTCTAATTTTTGTTGCTCAGTATTTTTTACTACTTTTCTAATTAATAAGTGATTCAACAATCTTTAAAAGAATGTTAAAATTTGTTTCTCAACAATGTAACATCGTATTGACTTCGACTTTTTTTTTGAAAGAGCAAAGTTCGGAGAGTATATAAATAAAACAAAACAATTTATGGGAATGTTCATTTTTAATATCGTTTCCGTTCCTGACGTATTCTCAGGAATTCTCACAGGATACTAACACGTGGACCAATCGGTCGACTTATGGATTCATCGACCACTATGCATTCATTATTGGTTGGTACCACCTTTTGTAGTACTATATCAATAGAAGAAAATCAATAGTTTTGAATTCATTTAATGGTAAGATGAATTTGTCGTTTAGCTAATCCAGCATAAATATTAATAAAATGGGTGTCAATAAATAGCGATTACACTCACAGAAATTATTTCATTCTATATTTGTTATCGACCATAAAAAGTCGATTAAATATAGGGAATATGTTTGACGAAACAAAAACTAAAACATTAGACTTGCTTAAATTCTATATCGAACACAACAAGAAAGATGTATTTTCAAAAGGTTTCGTCATAAATAGTTTGTAAGAATAACTATTTTGCAATTCATAATGTCGATCTATATATCTTTTTTAAGACAAATTCATGAATTTTAAATCAAAAAAGTAAATATTTGTCAACAGACTTGATCAAATTTCTTCCAACAAAAATAATGTCAAGTTTTTATTATGAATAACAAAAGTACAATAAGTATTTCGTTCGTTTAAAATATTATCGAGACAACATACAAATTATTGTAGAACAACGAAGAATAAAGATTTCTAAATAGATTGATCTCAACTGAACTAAAAGTAGCCAAAAAATTGACATTCTGTTTTTTATCAACATATTAAAACAATTTATACTCGTCTCATACATTTGTATCAATTTATAATACAATGAAACATATCTAATAAAATTCAAATAAAGAACAATAAAAAAAAAAACAATATCAATAAAGCATGAAAGAGAAACACATTGAAACTCAATCGTTCATCAAAAGTCGATCGTGCAACGAAGAGAACTAAATATAGACATTCTTATGTAAATATCTTTTGTATCAAAACACGTCTGAATCGCGTTTCGTATGCGTCTGGTATATTCGACTCAATATATTGAAATATAAATAAAGGTGTGGACGTGGGTGTAATTAGAGATGATAAGGACATCCACATCCTCATTTGCTTATTTTATTTTATTCTGTAGTATTTATTAATGATCTCTTTGTTTTTTGTTGTGAAATAAGGATATCTCGATGAAATTATTCGACAGTAATCGCTTAAGAGTGATGAATAAAACTATTGGTAAAGATTCCCAACTTAATAATAACATAAGACTTGAAAAAAAATTTGAGATAAAAATTTGTCCAAAAATCGAATTAACTTTATCAATAAATTAGTATATTCATCAGTATAATTAGGTTTGTTAATCTCACTAAGTATGAATATGGTAAGCATGCAAAAGAAATAATAACATGTACGATGAGCTACACATATATGACCAATGTCAAAAAAGAATCTTGAAAACTTTTATGCAATTAGTACTGTAAAGCTACGTAGATTAATTTCATAGCTGATGATGATAAGAATTTTCTGGTAGATATATAAAAACAATCTTTGTTTCTTGCACTGTTTGCGAAAATAAGTAAATAAAATATAAACTTATAATATTCTATAATTACTCTTTGTATTAATTGATAAAGACTATATAAAGCGATTCAGGTGAAGTTATCCAAAATGAAATTATCGAAAAATGTGATGTCCAACTGTGTTATTTTTTTCTAACACACAGACACAATGTTCTTACTATTCAATATCAACATGATAGTTATTCGTAAGTGATATTTTGATTGATCAATGATTGATTAATTAGTAAGAAAATGCAATTTTATTTGTACACTCAATATATAGAATATACCCAAGATAGTTTTATCTTAATCTTCAGTCAGATAAAAAGCAACAGGTTATCTTCAAAACTTTCGAATAGTATCCATATAAAAATTTTTCCAATCAAAACACATCTGTATACGTTCGTGATTTCGTTCATGTCTAGACGCATTTTGAAACCTTTTTATCCCGTCTATATGTGGTATATAACAAAGTTATATTTCAATGCATCTACTTTGTGTTTTGATGTATATATGGGTATTGTAAAAAAAACAATCAATGATTTAAATTTCAAATCATTTTCAAACGAAGTATGAAAACTATCGAAAAAGATCGTTAGAGAAATATCAAGCTTAATTTTTTCCTCATTTTTTTTTGTAAATTAAAAAACAATACATCTATCGTATTTTAAAAACATCGATTTGTATGAATTCTTTTTTTCTAATTACAATTGACAATGTATTATGAATAATCTTTCGTATATGTATAATTATTATTATTTCACGCATGGTTTCATTTCATGCGTATGTGTAAATATAAAATGAATACCTGTCGATTTGTTTTTATTTCAATGTATAGGTCAAATTTTTTTAAAAAGTACCAAGAGAGTGAAGCAAACTTGTCAATAGAATGTTAATCACTAGATGCTAATAAGAATAACTATATCTTGAATATATTAGGACCTCTGTATGTCATCGTTATACGAGATAGTTTTTATCATTTGATTCTCATATATTATTATCATCATTGTTGACATCGTTTTAGATAGGATAAGTACTAAAATTATTTGTAATTAAACATTTTTATTTATTGTTAGATTGTTTTGTTATCTGTCAACGAGTGCGTGAAGCTAAATAGACTTGATTTAATCTTTGTATTAGATGGCATCTTCTGAAAATCTGCTTTGACTATTGACCAGTTCTCTTTCTCTTCTATCTGATCAATCATGTAGTGAACCACACGATGGAATATTATTACCATTGACGACCATTGTAAGAATTCCTAACTCAGCATCATCTATGTCTATGATTTCATCAATAAAGAATAGAGATGAACTGAGGGAATTATCAATTGAAAAACCAAGTTCAACAAGTATTAATTTAATGGCTGATGTAAGTCGCCGATTACGACGAAGAAAAAAAACATATGATCGACTGTAGGAAATCTTTCTGTTTTATTTTGTTTAAAATTTCTTCTACATTTTAGTCGTAAAATAAATAATATTATGTGTTTTCTTGGTCTTTTGGGTGTCTTTCTTATGATCATTGAAAATGAGATTAATTTTATGAATGTATATAAAAAAGATCTAATGATTAATTGGATTATAAAATTAATAATTACAATTACAACAGTCATTCTTGTTGGTCTTGTATTCTATTATCATTATTTGGATTTAAATCTTTATTCTGTTAATAATGTAATTGATAATTGGTTTACTGGTTTAACAAACAAGAAAATATTTTTAATTCTATTTGAAGTATTCATTTGTTTTATACATCCTATTCCTCGATCTTTTCCTCTTAATTGGAGTTTACAACATGATAATTTAACCATATCTTATTCATCTAAAACAACTTCTATATCTTCATCTCCTATAGAGATCGATGTTGTACTTGGTTTGCCAAGTAAGTAGAAATCTTCTTTCTATAAAAACTGAAAAAAAGAATTCATGTAAAAATAGTGTTTGCTCGTTTTTATTTGGTATGTCGTTTTATTTTATTTCATTCTTATTTATTTCGTGATGCATCATCACAATCATTGGGTTGTCTTAATGAAGTATCAATGGATTTTTTCTTTCTTATTAAAACATATCTTGAACAATGGCCAGTACATTGCTTATTATTATTTTGTGGACTTCTCTTTTCTATTGGTAGTTGGTCATTACGAGCATGTAATTATTCAATAACAACAGAACATTTACCTATTCTTGATTCAATGTGGTTATTTATTGTTACGTTTACCACTATTGGTAGGTGTCTTAAAGAGAATAATTTTGAAAACTATGAACTTTATTTATAGGTTATGGAGATTTAACACCATCGACTTATTGTGGACGAAGTAAGTCTAAAGATTAATGATATTATTTTATTTTTTTCACTATTAGGTGTGGCTGCTCTGATTGGTTTAATTGGTATTTTGACTAGTGCTCTTCTTATTTCTGTTCTAGCACAAAAACTTAAGTTAACTCGATCAGAAAAATACGTACATAGTTTTGTATTAGATATTGAATTGGCAAAAAAACGTAATCATCAAGCAGCTAATGTCATTAAATTTGCAATAAAAATTTGGTATTTAAAACGAAAACATCGATCTACATCGACTGAATATATCAAAGTACAACGAAGATTAATTCAATCGATACGTTTTATTCAAAAATTGAAACAAAAACAAGGAAAATTAACTGATAACTATATTGGATTACAAGAAATAATTACGATACAACGAGAAACAATCAGTAAAACAGAAGAAAATACAGAGCAATTAATAATAATGGAATCAAAAGTAGATAAAATTGATGAAAATCTTATTGATATAAATCATACAATGATAAATATACAAAAAACACTTAATCTCTTATTGAATAGAATGTTACAAGAAGAGAAAACTTCTTAACATTTTTAATATTATATTTCCTTATGTATTCTAATATATTCTTGATTTTGTTTTATTTTATGATTTTGTTTTGAATTTTAATCTAAATAAATAAAAGTATTCTTTAGATAGAAAGTATATCTTAATGGAATTCTAATCAATTAATTTTGTGAATATTAATTGAAATATAAATATAAAAGCTTGTTAGCCCAGCCACTTTGGGACTGAAATGTGGAACTCACATATGCTGTCTACCCTAATTAAACTAACACAAAATACATAAAGTGAAAAATCTCTTGTAAGCTATAGTTGTTTTGCAGGATAATCGAACATCAGAGTAAGAATGTTTCTAATTTCTGCATTTTGAACAGCAAAATTTTTATTTTTTCTACGGACGCACTATTTTTTGTTTACATTGTTACTATTCACTCGCTATTTTTCGTTTTTCTTAGTTTAACGTTCTTATTATTATAATCATTGAATTAATTGGCAAATACGTCCGTTTTACATATTCATGATATCTACAGCAGATCCTATGCACTATTCTATATATTAATCAATTCACAAACAATGATGTTGCTTATCTTTCAAAATTATAACTTGATTAATTTTGCAAAAAACTATAGAAAGTCTGACACCTGTTATCCTCGATTGTTAAGATCTATCATGGAGTGGGGAGCAGCCAAAACTTGAACTTAAAACTTACACTCACTATTTTCTTCGAAAATATATGATTGTTTCACAAAAAACAACATGTATGTGTATATCAATTATTAGACGTTTTCCTTTTGTTTAATAGGATAGATTAAAAAAAAAGGTAGGTAGATGGAAATTTGATATTTATTTCTATTTAAATAATGGAAAAATATTTTATGTTTCACAAAAATCCATATAAATTCAAACATGAACATCTAAATTTCAACGATTATTAAATAAACTATTAGTTTTTGAAGTTTTAGAAAGATTTTTGTCGAATATTACTTAGGCTAATCCAAAAATAGTGGTGAAGGTGCTGTAATTCCTTATAAACAGCTTGAAGAAATTTTCTCTCTATATAGAGTCTGATAGAAAAAAGAATGCTCTATTTTTCTATGCTATTTAATCATATATCACCTACTATTATAATAATAAATTTTCAATAAGATTTTTTTCGTTATGTATGTACCAGATCATATTTTGTCTTCGATGTATATCGTCTTCTTATTATTCGCTTTGTTCGTCTGCTCTCTTTTTTTTTCTGCTTTTATCTCGTCTCCTTCAATACCTAGCCGTCTATAAGTATTAGGACATACAAAATTTAGTGAATTTAGAACAAAAAAAGAAATATAGAGTTCATCGAGTTTTTATGTCATCAAATGTTCAAAATAATCGCCGTAGTCATCCACACACAATTGCATTCATTGAAGCCATTTATCGTATATTTTTCTATATTCTTCTTTATTTATATTCATCATTAATAAGGCTACAAATTTGTTCAATATTTTCAGATATTGTCTCGGTTACAGGTCTGTCAGGTCATTCTCCGTCTTCAATGTCTTCTCGACCTTCATGAAACCATTTAGACCACTTTTCTACTGTTCTAAGTGCAGAAACTTGATCATCAAAAACAGAACGCAGTTCATTGTAAATAATTCTTGTTTCAATATTAAGTGCAGTATGTACTTTAATGTAGAAACGAAAATTTTCCTTATCCATATAAGTAAAACTGAAAAGTGTTAAGATTTAATATTGCTTTGTTTCTTTAGCTTTCTTAGAACACAATAATAAACTGAGCATATAAATAAAACAAATAGGACATGCATCTTTGTATATACATGCATAGACGGCTAGACATTGGCAAGAGACGAGACAAAAAAAGGAGAAGAGAAGAACAAAGCGAATAATAAGAAGATGATATACATCGAAGACAAAACTTGCTGTCAGAATAGAGTTATATTAGTTAATCATAATATTTCGAGACATTTCAAAACATCAGAAATTTGTTCGACCGTAATTGGAAAGCCGAGGATTTCCAGTCTGATTATTGTCACTTTCTTTTTTTTGTATGAATCACTGGCTAAAGACTTATATTTATTGTTTTCTTTCCGATAAGAAAATGTTTTGGTTGAATAAAAACACCAAAACTTTTATTTTCTCATTCAACATACGATTGTTTTTTTTTTCATGATTTACAGAGAAATAGATGAGTTTAAAAACTAAGTTTTATCTTCATCTTGCTCTATATCATCTTCTGCTAATTCAACTTCAATTTCCCATTTACAACCAAAATAATGTACACTTAAAATTTTTAATTTTGTTCCAACAGCTAACAATGCTTCTTTTTCATCAATAAATGTACTCCATTTCCATATATTTGCTAGATTAATTTTTGCTTTTTCATTACAAGTATCTGTTCTTAATATTAATATAGCATTACCAGAATAAATAAGTAAACGATCAATTGTAAATGATGTAAATGAATTTGTATAATAATATTCATTTCTTTTATCTAGATAATATTGAATTTCTGTATCAGTTAATGTTAAACCTCGATAATAAATATATTTAATATTTGATTGAATTAAACCTCGTATTAATGAACGTAATCTATTAACATAAATCCAATCAATATCATTTAAATTAGCACTTAATAAATTTAAATTTGTTTTCATATAACATTCATTTGTTTTACTATCTGTATAAGATTTTATAACATTTAACATATCATCAGTTAGTTCATATTCATTGATAATACTTGGATAAAGTTGTTTGAAATATGAGCGATATAAATTTTTTGTTAATAATTTACAATTAAGTGTATTTGTTGTATAATCAAAATAAAAACAATCTGATTCAAAATCAGCCGTCAACGAAGCAAGTTCCTTTGGTAAATAAATATTCGTTTGGGCATCCAAAACACATCCCATTTTATGTCGTACACGTTGACACAGATGCAGAAAAAAAACCGAAGAAAATGAGTATACAAATGTAATTGCATCAAAGTTGAGAAATGGGAGAAAAGAAAATATACAGAACATTATGATTCACGATTCTTTGCCTAGAAAAGCTACAAAAGAAGTAGTTATTTTAAATTAAAATAAAAAAACAAATTTTTATTATAAAAAAAAACACAGAGCATTAAAGAGAATGCTTGAAACAAATTTATACTTCGGATAGTTCATAAGCATTGTAACAAAATTTTGAGAAATTTATCTGGTGTTAAATTAATTTTGTTATTTTGAAAAAAAAAATTTCTTATTATGTAAAAACTTTTATCAGATGATCCATTTAAAACTACGTCGTTGTGCAATAATATTCGCTGATCAACACTTCAAATACTTTATTAGACAGATATAAAGTTGTAGTTAGAATGAAAAAATTTGAATAAAATGGGGGGGGGGGGGGGGGGTGGCTGTTCGTGAAAGAAAGATCAACACTCACACCCTTTTATGTTCGTATCCGTCTCATCTTCGTGGTGTAAAAACGCTAACGGTCGTCACACTGATTATTGATTATACTCATCAAATCTTAAGCAATTAATATTACTTTTTGATATTCATCATTTTAAATCAGATCTACTTTGAACTATCTCACAAAAGAATTTTTTCTCTGTTGGTATAGCGTAAAATTTTAGGAATTTCCTCAGTTCGACATGGGAAAGTTGCCCTAACGCTTACTATGTAGCGTTGGTGAATCTCATTGTTGATGTACTTCAATTTGGTATAAAAATTATTGTTGATGTTATTTGAAATCACGGCATTACCTCTACGACAAAAATATTTTTACGCGCTCTGTACAATGTTCGACTTGATAACTCAACATGATCTTTTTCTAAAATGGACGAACCTACATGAGAGTCTTGGACGCCTAGATTTGGCCATTCACCTTACTTTGGCATACACTAAATCCTGATCTTTCATACTAAAGATCTCATATTTGCAGTACTTGGAACCACCTAGTTCAGCCAATTGTTCGAGTGAAATCTAGTCAGTTCTGATCGATCTATTCGATTCTATTATCGTACTTTACTAAATACGAAGAAAAAGTCTAAGAATAGGTCACAATCAGCTATAAATCCTGAATGTTGTATCGATTCTGATCAATTTTTATACTTTTTACTTGTATTTGGTTAAATACGGCAGTAGGATTGGATAGACAGATCAAAACTGACAACGTCTCGTCAATATTTTGCAAAATAATTGCTCTTCATAGATGATCATCTGGATGATTCTTTTCTTCAATCGCTGATGCTTCTCGATAATTATCGAGCGCTTGATCAAATTCTTCCTTTTCCTTCACCATATTTGCAATATTATGAAGTGAATCAGCTATGTGAGAAGTATTAGAAGGTAATTGTTCTCGACGCATCTTGTAGGCCTTTTCATAATTAGTCGATACGAAATCTAGTTCATTTCTTACAGAATGTACGTGTTCAATTCCATTATATACAGATCGAATATCTGAATGATATCATGAAAATAGTCTAAGTAACATTTGAAAATATTTTTTTGCTTGATTAACTTGATCCAGTTCATTGAGAAGTAGCCAACTGAAATAAATGATGGGTGAACTATCGTTCATTTGTTGCTTAACAGATCCGAGATGTTGTTCAACATTATCAGTCCCTTCATCAGTTGCTTTCAATTGCATTCTTCAAAGTTGAAAATTTGAATCAAAATTGACTGAAACAATTTTACAACGAGAATTGAGATTGAAAATAATTTCTTGTTCGTTTTTATAATTGCATCTGTGACTAATATCAGCCCAAATGATCTTTTCAAGTGACGAGTCAACTTCAATTTCCAAAACAATCGATCGCATATCACCTGATATAATATTTGAACGAGCAAAGAAATGCGCGATCCTCATGTCTTGTGATGTTGAAAAGAAATCATTGATTGATATAATAGTACCAATGTTATTTCTCCATCTGTCTAATTCTTCAACTAATATCTATTATCCACGAAATGTTGTAAAAACATCGCTGTTATTCAATTTGAAACGTTCTTGTTTGATTTCAGCATACATATCGATGATAAAGAATCGAAATGCATAGATTAATTCGATATCTTCAGTACGAAGAGTCCTGTTTAATAATTTATAAAGAAAACATTCGTCTTTATATCATTCGATTGCTTTCTTCGGACAATCATCGTTCCGCAAATGTTCGATCTTCTTTAACTCATTTTCATTATTTGAGAATACTCTAAACATTTGTCAAGAATATCTTGTTTAGATTGTTCATCTTGAGGCATTTGTTTGACAATATACAGAATCATCTGATATCACAAAAATGATGCCGATTCTTTAGATAAGTCTCGTGATAATTTTTGTTACTGATCGAATAAACTAAAATTTATTGATTGCTTTTCTAGAACATTCATTGTTTGGTGAATAAATTTAAAAAGACTATCTTCATCTAGCGACAATCGATTGCAAATGATGAATTCTTGCCAAAACATTTCGATTCAACAAGCTCGAAACAATCAATAGCATTTGTTCATCTTTGATCCAACTGATTACATCAATACATCGATTAGTATCGGTGAAAAATTGGACGAATAGATTTAACTTTAACAGCATTATTTGTGTTTTAATTGAATCATTAGAATCATTAATATTTTCATCGGGCCATATTAATTGATATTCTGCTTTATTTTCATCCAATTCATTTGGAAGACAGTTTCGACAATACTTAGTCATTTCAAAAGTAAACTAGTCTCATGTTTTCTTCTCGATCTCTTCAATGCGATAAGCATTAGTGAAAGGAAAAGAAATAGTTTTTAAGCAAATTTTTTGCTCAAATTCTGCTACTCCATGCCATCTTATTTTCTTAGCAACTATGACTCATTAACGCCGTAACAGCGTTGCAATTCGATCGTAATTGAAAACATGGGATAGTCATTATTTCAGTCATTTATTTATTTACTTATTTTTTACCTATTGCTGCATCAACATAAGTATCACCGTCGAGATTTTTCAACGCAAAAAAGCGATCAACATGAAATTTTAAAAAAAATTTCTTTCCTTACTTCATTTCTTCATCACCTTATTTTACTATTGATCATAGAGAAAGAAAAACATATTGAAGCACATCGAAAAATAAATACACGTTTTTCTTTTACGTCTTTGAGAATTGCAAATTTCACATTGTTATTACTTTATATAGCAAGTAATTCAGAGAATCGAACATATTCATTTACAGCTAAGATTAAGATGTATTGGATGTTGCAAAAAATTCTTGAGCGAATGTCCATCCTTTTTTCATCTGAAAAGATAGGTTTCAGAAAAATAAAAAATATCTGTTCAGAATCTGTATTGAAAGAGCTTTCTAACTGTATGTTAGAAATATTTGAATCATGTGTTGTTTTTGAGTAACAAATACATGTTTGAATGAAATTAAAATGTAGTCCATAAAAATAACTCAAAATGGCTGCTGCTGCAAAAGAAACCATTGTGTCAATAGTTTTTAATTTTCTCCTGTTCACTTTGTTGAATATTGTTGATCCTTTTTTTTTTATTAAATTCGTAGTTTGGTTCTCTATAAACTGGACAGAAAACATTATGAAATTGAATTAGACTACATGGTGAAAAATAGAAAAAACCAAAGATCTTCGAAATATCGCAAAACTTGGATGTGAAAACGGTAATGGTTTGATGAAAGTTTTTCGAGATTTGAGTTCCATTATTTCATTACAATATAAATATGTCGAAATCTATAGGTTGTTGCAATTAATAAGGATAACGGCGAACATTGTGTAAATGAACGAAATATGAAACAATAGAAAATGAGCGTCTACTTGAAAAATGGCAAGAGTTGCGCTGTCAAGGTTTTACAACGTTATCTAAAACAATGTCATAAAGTATTTTCTATACGGTTCACACAGAGTTGACCGAAGAATTTAATGTAAAAAAAAAGATCAACACAATCCAATACAACGTACATAAGAAAAAAAGTTCGATCGGTTTCTTTTCACGGAGTTGTTACGAGTTGTTTTCCTTTACAGACTACATCTTAATGTCATTTAAACATACATTTGTTACTCAAAGGCAGCGGATGATTTTATTTTTCTAAAATTTGTCTCTGCAGATAAAAAATGGAAGAACATTAATCCCAAAACTTTTGCAAGATTCATTATATAAAAACATTTAGATATCAAGCTGAGTTC